AACAAATCGTGGCAGGATCAGCCTGATATCATTTGTATCCCACTATAACTTTACTGTATAAAGAGCAAACATCTCCAAAATGTCAGGAGTAGTTAGTCATTACAAGTGTTTGTGAACTAAAAATCAAGAATGTGGGATACTGTTTGTCTGTGATTTGAAGAGCCCAGCGCTGCTCCCGACGCAGGGAAAACCAATTCTGCAGGGAGACCTACCTCGGCACTTGTGCAGGTGAAACCAAAGGGCAGACATGCTTCACCATATTTTCTACTCTTTGGCTTAGAATGAAGTTGGTTTGGAAACATATTCAGCTATGCTTCCTCTCCTGCTTTGCGTTTGTGTGGGCGCCCGTGATAGCAGTGTCCAAGCGTCCCCCCCCAGGGGGCGGGCCCCACACTTTGGGAAGGTCCGCATTAGATTATGAATAAAACATGAAATTTTGGTGTTTTTCCAGTGGCATTCTCTACCTCATAGCTTTTAGAAAACACAGTTCTCATCAGAATACTGTGCTTTAACCACCGTAGCGCCACATGGCTAGTTGAGAAAGCAAAGTGCATAGATGGCTAATTAGCATATCATTACCTTTCCCAAAGCTATTTCTCAAGAGGAGACAGGAGCTTATTGCCACAGCAGGACACGATGCTGTTCATGAATCAGTTTCCTCGCACTGCCTAAAGATGAATGAACCACCCCAGGACTGAATAGTTTACCGAGTAGTTACTGATTATGATATAGAGTCGCCAAAGTTGTGGTTAAGATTAACAGGTTATTACAGTTTTGTTTTGTTTTTAGTATTACAACCTCATCAGTGTTTAGATTATAAAGTCAGACCCAGAAAATAAAACCCAGGAAATCTTCTGCTAAGTGTTCGTGGATCCATTTCGACACATTTTTGTGCCAGTATATCTAAAAAGTCAATAAGCTGAGCAGCTGCAGTTTCACTGGCAGTGTGTTTGATATCGATGCTGTTGTCTTATTGTCTAATGTCCAAATGCTCTTTTTAGCTGATTCCAAGTGGATGTTGTCTTCACTGGACTTTAAAGTGTTTCTCATTTTGTGAAGCTGTTGACTTACTGTAACCCCAGCGCGTTTGAAATCTCCTGAAACAGAGCTAATTCTGTGTGTTTTGAACTGATCATAACCTTTTAATCACACAAAAATGAACCAGAATTAAACAAGCATAAGCAATCCATTTATTTCTTGAATATTGTAATACAGTAATTATTCACTGCCAAGCCACAGAAACCACAGAAAGTCTACCAAGAATATTGTGAAGAAATGCTTTCAACTTTTGCTTGTCTAACTTCTCTGTTTACCAGGAACCACCTCCACTTACAGGGGGTGCAGCTTCAGCAGGCTCTGCTGGACATCCGAGGCAGTGTGGAGTTCGCAGAGCGGCTCCTGAGTTGTGGGTCTGACGCTGAGATCCTCAGTGCCAAAGGAGTGACCTTGAGAAGACTCACCAGCCTGGCAGAGAGGGGTTATGACCCCCACCCAGCAACCGTTGCCCCTGACGATGGCAGCAGTATATCCTTCATGCCCAGGGAACCCGCAGGGGAGGTGGAGGGCTACCCTGTGGTCGGGGTAATCAACTCTAAGACTGTGGATGTCAGCAGGTGCACCATTGAAGGAGAAGGTAAAAGACAGTTTCAACCATGTGTACAGAAGGTTAGGAATCCATACTTGCTTCAATAACACTCTTAAATAAATCACAGCAAACTATTTTCAGGGTCATGTGTACATATTGTATTTTTTATTTTTTTTTAGTGTTTTTACCGGCGATAAAACCAATTGTTAGTCTGTGCTATGGACAAGTTTGACACCTTTTCTCCTCCACAAATTTAAGCCGATATCACTTTAGCCCCTCCTATTTTTATAAATTCTGCACTGAGCTTTGAGGTCTCCGATATCACTGAAATGCAGCCAGATGTTGCTTATTTTACATTTGCACTCATTTCTTCACTTTTTTCGACACCCTGTGTACCTGGCCTGTACCACTACCACTTGCTGTGTTCAGAACATCTGCCCCGCTTCGTTATTTCACATAATGGTATGATCCTTGTCTGCCTGCATATTATTGGCCGCATTGTGTCCCCATCAAAATAAAGTCTGACCCCTGCCTGCATAGATTCTTAGTAGGGCTGAATATTCGGCTCCCACATACTGACGGGCCATTAATATACATATATACATATGAATTTATCTTGCAGGCCGGATATAATTGTATCAAGGGCCAGATGTTTGACACCCCTGCCCTAAACCATATCAGCAACTTTCAAGACTCAAAGATGCAGCATACACAGAAGTGCCAGAAAAGTGCAGTTCCTCAAATTGCCACTTGAGGCTGGCTCCAAAAATTACTCACTTTCCATAGACCTCCATGTTAAATTCCCCATCTTTAGAGCAGAAGTAAACATGTTGACAGCGTGCCACAAAAACTTGTTTTGGTCTCTGTGGCAAATTTTTGTACTTCATGACAACCACGCAGGTGAATTTTTATGCAAGTCACCCATTTTAATTGTGTTAAAGGTAAAATTTGTGCCTTACTGGACTGTTTTGAGTCATAGTTGGGTGACATTTCGTGTCATTCTGAATTCAGTTTTTTTTTTAAAAAAGACAGTAAATATGATTAAAGCATGTTTTAGGTGGACAGATCCCACATAATGTCTCAGTAAATTACAAACACCATGTTAACCAGACTACCTCCTGGGATGCCCTCTTACCCAAATACATTCATGCCAAGTTTAAAGAAACAGACAAAATGTCAAACTGAAGGTTTTAAAACGTTAATCTACAAACAAGTCATCATAGTGACTGTGTTCGTCTTTTATATACAGTCTTTGCCTAAAATGACTCATTGCATCATCATTATGACCATTGTTTTATTATTGTAAGTCTGTTATGTACAGGTCTTGGGTCATCTTCCATTTAGATTTTCCTAGGAAAATTGGAAATGGGTACAGTGATTTATTGAAACACATACAAATACCCCCTGAAAATACAGTATGTAAGGCAAAAATAGAGTTTGTACAATTCTCACAAGCTTGAAATTCAGTAACGCTGAGGTTCAGGCTGTGGGGAGCCCCATCCATGACTGATAGTGATGCATTATATGTTTTTCTATGCAGGTATGCATACTGCATTTGCACTGTTTGTGTCATTGCTACACAATGACACCATTCCCAATCAGACGCTTTCCCAGTTGTACTGCATTGGGGATCAGAAATGTGATGATACTTTTCTGTGTTCATAATTCCATTCATTTCCACAAGTTTCCAAAAGCCACTGGCTGAGCTGCAGTCATAAACCTGTAAGCACATCCTGTTTTAGCTTTCCCCCGACCTCCTCTGTACATAGCGACGACCATTTGAACCAATAATCTCTCGTTTAGATTCATCGCTTCATCAGATCTGATTTTCAGTCCAGTTCTTACATTAGCCTTTTTCCCCGTTTCCTTCCTTAAAAATGGCTTCTTGACAGCCACTCTTCCACTGAGTCCACATCAGGACTTTTGCACAGTATTGTAAGTTTAGCTTTGAGTTTGCTAAAAGCTAACTCGACTCTTTTACCAATGACTTTTTCTTTGTTTTAACATGAAAACAGCTTTAGGCATTTCTGTTTTTATATTCAAGGAACCAGATGACCTGAAGCTGAGAGTCACATGAACTGAGTAATACTTTAAAAGAGTGTGTAACAGTGACAAAAGCAAATTCATTTAAACTCAGAACTCTTGTTTTTCTAGCCACATCAGTTTAGAGACCGAAGGTTGGTGTGAGGCAGAGACGACAGTACAGACTCATGCAGCACATAAAGACTGTTGTTTTGTCTCTGGGGACTTTGGCTTAAAGGCAGAAATTCCTTCTGGAGTGAAGGAATGTTTAGGTGACTTAAGAGGCCTGCAGGCAGTGAACAAACATAACAGGGACACATGCAGTGTTGGAGGAACGGGGATCAGCAAGAGTACAGGGCAGCTTTTGAGCGACAGAATATTTACGACTTTCCTTTTGTGTTAAAATGTTTTATAATAGAGGAGAAGCATGCACACGGGGAAGGTTTGCTTGCTTTTCCTTTTGTTTAAATGATTGCTTCTACTGCTGTCCTTAGTAAGTTAACAGTTAATCAGAAAACTAATGTGAGGAGACAGAAATATGCCCAAAGGTTCTCCTTGTGACAGTCTGTGTGATCTAAATCACCTCATTTGTTATTGTAGAAATCATCATTTGCGCATCAGTTGATTATGCAAACTGCAGCCCTTATTCATTGCTCAGAAAAGCACCCAGGTACTGTCACAGTTCCCATCCTTCCACCACACACATGCAGACGCAGCAAGCAGGAGATTTGTAGCAGCGTTTCTCTCTCTGTCCCAGAGCTCGGATTAAAGCAGTGTTTACTTGTGATAAATGGGAAACCAAAGCAAATTTGGACTTCTTTGTTGAGTCTCGTTGGTATCCAAGAGCCGCTGCCAATGTTTGCCAAAGAGTCAGTCTGCCATGTGATGTCAGGCAGTCTGTTTGTGTGGGGGCTTGCTTGAGTCTGTATTAAAGTCGTGTGTACTGCATTAGATGTAGAGCCGTACACAGCTCTCTGGTCCCTGCAGCAACCTATTCATTTATCCAGCTTTACTTTGGGCTGACTTCGGTTGCTAAAGCTTCTACGTTTTTTTTCCTCCAGATTGAGGATCAATGCATCAGATAAACCAGCTTTTTCCAGCTTTAAGTTGTTTATTCTTCCCAAATTGACTGCAATCAGTTTAACACAGTGTGACACTCTCAATTTAGGGGTTCAGATTTCAGTCTTGAGTATAGGAAAGTGGACATCCCAGAGGCTTACCAACGATTATCCCCTCTTTGTGCGAAAAGAAGATTTGAAGTGTTGAAATGGACTGCAAGACTGAGCAGCACAGGTGAATTGTGGGTGAGAAGAGCTGTGTCTTTAGTGGTGACAGCTGCTAGTACTCAGCTTAGCAAGAAGACGAACAGAGATTCACAGATAATGCAACCGTATGTTCAATCAATTTACTGTCAAGACGCACCTAACTTACCCCTCTGTCCGCTCAGCGCCAATGCCACTTTATATGTGCGGAAGAGAGTGCTGAAAGGTTGGATGAAACAACCCTCTCAGCACTCCCTATTTATTTTTATTTGCATTAAATCTTTTAATATTGGTGTACATCAGAAATAATTATATGTTGATAATGATAAAAATCTGTAATAGGCCAGTATCAGCTCCTATTAGCTAAACTATATGTAACTTAGGCTCCACTGAAATGCAGTGTTTAGGTTAAAAGTACTATATAAATACAGGCCATTTTACCATTTAAAATGGGAAGATGTTATTTAAAAAAATAACTGCGAAAATCTAATGTAAAGACATTTAAATATATTGCATGCAGATAAAAACTCTGGCGCCCAAGAAGAGATTTTCACCTTTCACCAAGGAATCAGTAAGCTAAGTGTACTCTTACTGTTTCCATAGGAATAAAGAAGGTGCATACTAACCAGGGGCTGCTAATCTAATCCACTAATCATCAGGAAGAAAAGCAGCAGTTTGGGCAATGTACTAGTCCGAAGTGCTGGGTATTTCTGGGAAGGGTTATAAATGTATTTCCAAAGAGTTCAAAGTCAATCATTTTGCAGTGAGAAACATTATTGACAAGTGGAAAACATTCAAGACAGTTCCAGGTTTTCCCAGGATGTTCGTGCATTGCTTGGAGAAATTGAAAAATAACCTGAGTGCTACATCTCAGTCCTCAGCTAACGTGTCAAAATTCATAAAAGTACAATTAGAAAAAGACTAAACAAATATGATTTTATTGGAAGGTTTGCAAAGTTTCATCAGAAAAGACCACAAGACTTCTGGAACTGCACAATGGTGGAGGGGTGTTGATCTGAGCTTCCTTGACCTTGCAGTCAGTCAGAAGCTAATGAATCATGCAGTGTTCTTACTTTTTGCATAGAGTCTTATGAAAACTGTATATTCCCTGTATATGCAGACCAGTCATGCTCCCATTGTGTATTCACCCCCAAAGGCCCAGTTTGAGCCAGGAAAAACCCTGACACTGTGTATTCATGAATTCTCTTTGTCATTTTCGTTAGTTAAAGCAATTTAAAAGGTGTCCATTAAAGTCTAAATAATTGGGTTTTCCTGACCAGCATAATAACACAAATATTTAAAATGTCTTGATAATAAATATACTTTTGGTCGTCAGCTTCAGCCCCACTGCTGCACACGCTGGGCCCAAGTGCCAGAGGGGGCACGTAAACATGCATGTGATCATCATGATCCAAATGATGAATAATTCCAGTTTGAGATTAGGCATAATTGCAAAAGTCATCTGTACACAATACAATGTATACAAACATGAAAAGTAACCATGAGATCACTCTCACACAACTCTGTCATGTTAGTCAGATTCACCCTGGGTCCACCTCGAGCAGCTTTCTGCGAGTGAAATTAGAAGAATATAAATGTTGTGTCTGAGCATCAAGTTCAGAGAGCACACGTGTCTTCTTGGTGTGGCTCATATATAGAGCAGAAATTTAAAATCAGGACCTTTCAACTTCAGTAGGAGTCCCGTAACGCAATAGTGCTGCACCGTTATTAACGACAGTTCGTCCCCTTAACCAGTACTCCCATTCATCATCAGTGAAGGAGCCGCTGGAGTTAGTTCCATTAGCATCCAAACAGCTCTCCCTGCAGCTGCTGGAAAACACTGAATAATAACAAATGAAAACACAGCGTGGGATCATTTGTTATCAAACTGCTAATGGACTCTGACGAGCAGGCGCAAAGCGGCATTAATCATTGGAGTGAACACAGGTGATGCGCGCTGTAACACGACAGAAACAGCTGATGAATATCTTGAACGAGACAGCGGAACAAGTTAATGAAATGCTAAATAATGACGCAGAGGTGTTTGAGAAATTCGACAGTGCTGAAGTCCAGCTGCACCTGAAGTCCCCTCCACATGCAGTTCGTTCATCTGGACACTGACCTGCGTAAGCGCTCAGCGGAGGGCTGTATTGAGATTGTGCATCTGTGTGACTGAAACCTGTAGAGGCACAAGACAAATGTCCAGGTGTCTCAATGTCGTAGTGTGTCTGAATGATAAAGTGCCTCATTTATTCTTTGTAGGGTTTTTTTTGTCCTTCTTTGTACTGTTACCAACTTTTCTCTACCTTGAAACATCTTTTCTGGGTGTTTGTGTGTCTGTGTGCTCTTGCCATTTGTGAAATCTCTGCATATGAAGAGGTTGTGTCCATGTATTTAACCTTTACACATCATAAATAAACCGATAAACAAGATGCCTCCAAACTCCCAGCTTAAAATGCTTCAACGTACCAGCATGAAAAAGCATGTTTACAGAGTGATAGGTTGTGTAAACCATCATATAAATTGTATGGTTGGTGATTTTCTTTATAGTTCATTCATTTGGACACCGGGATAGTTTGGGCCATTGACAGGTGTGCTGACACAGGCGCTGTAGCTCAAATGTTGCCTCCTAGGCTTCATGCTACAGTCACACTAGGGAAAACAGTAGTTGGAGACTGAAGCGCAGCTAAATTTATTGCTTTGCACTTCAAAGCAACCATTTCAAAGGCAGCTCACCATCAGCTGCTGTCTTCAAAGCAGCAGTGGTGCATCAAGACGGCAATAAAATGGCAAGAAGACAGAGTCAGAGTCTACTCTCTGTCAGGTTTTGATTGAATGGGGTCTATTTGTCAACTACATGCAATCTATCTGGGATCAAATGGCAATCAACTGTAATAAATCACAAATCTTTTGCCACCTGTTGCAAAACTGTTCCTGTGAACATGAAGAGAAGTTTGCATTAAACAAAATTCACATTAACTTACATTTAGTCCACTCAGAAGGTCGTAGATTTGAAGTGTGAAATTTAAAATTTCCTTGATAAATAGTGACGTAATTGCTTCAGGACAGCACTTCAGTGGCAAAATTCTAAATGTGACTATGGTGCTCGGTGTCCTTGCTTTTATATAGGACTAGAACCAGTTGAGTCCGCTAGTGCAAAGAGATGCAGACAAGTTGTGCTCATCATCAGCCCAGACTGACTGTTTGATCACAGAGTGGTGTCAGTCAGTCTGCCATTCTAGATTCAACGGCAGTTACTGCAGAGCATCGTTACCTCCCACCAGGTAACCAGCTTCTGATCACAAGTCATCTGCTTTATCTGCTTTATCAATTTGTAGTTGGTCACTGAATAAAAATAAAACAATTAAATGACATCACCATTATTAACCACCTTTCCTGGAAGGGCTGTTCTGTATAACGATATATATCGGATGACGATATGAAAACGTCTATCGTTTCATTTTACACTATCGTTTGTTTCGTGGTGTCGCAAAATAAACTGTTTATGGCAAAAAAAAAAATTCATCATTTTGATGGTCACTGTGTAGAATTTCTTAAGTTCTATCTTCCTCTTATATTTAATATAACCACAATACAGACAGACAAGCAACTCTTTTTATGCATTGCCATTAGCAACAACGACGGTAAAATCATTGTCTGACTCTGCCGTCCACTTGTTTATTTTCTACATAAACCTTTCACAATAAAACTGAAGATCCTGTTGAGATTTTTCAAAATAAACTGAATCACATGAAATAGTTTGTAAGAGTGTTTACGGACAAGAAGCTAAAAAGAGCTGTCAGGTGTAATAAATAGAAAGAAAATTGCGGCCATTTCAACTTTGGTAACACGACTCCAGGTACACGACGCCCAGCTGAAAACACTTCACGCGAGTCGAGTTGCCCAAGATTCATAGAATTTACAGAAAATGTAAAATTTTTGTGATATATATCATTGTCAGGACGATAAATGTCTTATATCGGGATATGAGATTTAGGTCATATCGCACAGCCCTGTTTCCTAGTCACAACCAGACTGCCATTCTGTTTTTATTCTAGTGTGGCTGAGCCAGCAGTGAGCCCCTAAACCTGACCTCTGCACTGTGCTTGTGGTGATTCTTAGTAGAAATCTATAAAAATACGACCGCTGTGACGTACAGCCTTAGCTGATAACTTCGAGCACCATTCTTTCCTCTAAATACGACAACTTTTAGGTCTAAAAATATAGAAATATATATACACATAATTTCCAGCGGTAACAACAGCAACCTCAGGACTCAGCCTTGTGTTGATCCGTGGTACACTTTTAGTCAAGCGGTAGTTTTTTGTTACTCAGCGCAGTCTTCGGGATTCTAACCTTTAACCCTGTGTTGGTCACAGGCCTGCAGGAAGGCACGGAGGGCCAGCTGGGCCACTTCACCCTGGTGTGCCGAGACTCAGCTGGAGAACAGTTGGCGCGAGGTGGAGAGCACGTCCTCGTGAGCGTCGTTCACACAGAGAAGAAAAACTGGTGAGTGGGGGGACAGCGTGTGGCGTGCCTGGTCAGCATTTTAACTCTGAGCATTTCTGACTCAGCAAATCATACAGAAGACACATTTAGTTAAAAAATTGACCTGCTCAGAACAGGTCAACAGAGTACTCTAAGCCTGAGTGCTGTGCTATTTTTGTTACTTGGGTTGAAAGAGGCACACTCTTATTGACCTCCGTAACATCACATGAATCATTTTTATGCACATTCACGATCAAACAGTGTGTAACTTTGAAAACAAGGGCAGCAATATCAGGAAGGCTAGTAGCTGTTTAGTATCTGCCAGCACAGCCGTCTGATCCATGAATGTCTTTGAGTTATTACCTAAAGTCAGCACGTGTGTGATCACTGGTGTTTTGGATGTCTGAAATAAGTTAACCTTCAGACTGAGAGGCTGATATACATCAGAGTATGACTCAAAGCTCGGACAGGTCATCCATGCTCTCAGAATGAGCAGATTCAGAATCCAGCACTGATGTTTTGAGAGCAGTTTACATCTATGTGCTATCAGTTGCGGTTTTAAAGTGATATTTTATATTATTAATAAAATGTTTTTTATTTTCCATCAGTAAAGTGGAGACGACTGTGACTGACAACAGTGACGGGTCCTACAGTGTGTCATACACACCACAGCAGCCAGGAGCGTACTCTGTGTGGGTTTGTGTCAAAGCCCAACATGTCAAGGTATTTTAAACTAAAGTGTCGAGACTGTAAGTTTTAATTTGGTTTGTTTCTCTTCGTCTAAGGGGCCAGGACACAAAATGAGATGGGGACAACAAACTTACCCAAGACTCAAGCAGCCACAGTTTTTTCACAGTTTCATAATTAAGGCCATCTTCAGTTGATACATGGGTACACACTTTCACTTCCTGGGGTTTGCCTACAAGTTTACACTATAACAAAAGAGGCTAAAACTGCTTTAGCCAACACAGTGCGGTTGCTGTACACTTGAAAACATCATGAATTAACTTCAGTTTCATGAAATGGTGTGATCAGTTTTAGATATTTAGAGATCTCCAACTCAGACGCTCTCATACAGAGATGCAGGCCATCACCTCCTTTATATAAAGGGATTACCCAAAGATGTTCACTAGATATACCTGACACAGGTTCCACACAGACACCAGCAGCAAGGATGCCAGCAACCTCCACAACCTTCTGGTTCGGCCTCGTGGGCAACCCTTATTCTGCTGTGGCCTCCTCAGGCTGCCTTGCAGCTTCCTTCTGTGAAGGTCGGACGTCTTTGTCCACCAACTCTGCACACAGAGAGGCCTTCAGCTCTGCTTTACAAGCACTACAGAGCATTTGAATGTCACAAAAAATAGCCACTGTAAGTAAATCTGCCCCCAAAATATCTATGGAAAGAATTACCCCACACACTAAAGAAAACAAAAAACACACACACAAAATAACCGCCAAGCAAGAAAAACCGAGGACAAGCCCCCGTCTCATCTAGGAAACCATGACTGGAGTCAGTCACCTGTACGCCACTCCATTCGCAGCCAGGCACCTGCAGAGTCTAATTAGTTTCCTCTTCTTTATATAATATTTACATGTCGAAACAAAAATATAATCGCTGTCGAAACAGTTTGAAAACAGTAGCTGCGTTTCACAGCTGAGATATGAATTATTGAAATAATAAGCTGACTGCTAGACGGAGCCGTGGCCTTGCTAGCAGTGCACAGCTCGTCACTTCAGGGCTCTACATCCTCCTGACAAATCAAGTTATTATGCACAACGTTGTCCTTATTAAGCAAGAAGAATCCCTGTAACGGCTCTTGTGCCAACCGACACTGGTTGACTGCCTCTGTGCTGTCTGTCTCTGCAGGGCTCTCCATTTGTTCTGAATGTGAAGAGGAAGTTCAGGCGTCACAGAGGGACGTTTCACTGCTGCTCCTTCTGCTCCAGCGGAGGAGCCAAAGAGGCTCGCTGTGGCTGCCCGGGAACCATGCCAGGTACGCAGCAGATAACTTTCATATGTCCTGTCTGAAGGAGCAGGTGTACAGTGAACAAACTTCGGGGTACACTGTGCTGTTGACTAGAACACACAGATGAAGAACAAAATTAAGTTAAGATTTTCACAGAATCTCGGCACCATCATCTGTGCACTTTGTGTTTTTAAGCTAAACCAGCTTTCCTTACACTCTCTGTGTTCTATTATATTTCAGGTTATTTGATTCATAAAAGAAGCAGGTGTTTGAAATATAGTTCCTTAGCATCACACGTCTTTTGTGTGTAATTTGAGTTAAATAGAGACAGTTGCTGTTACTGAAATGTTTCCCGTCACTATGGAAATCATTGTTTCTCTCTGCATTTACTTACACTCTGAAATATGTTTAAAGCCACTGTGGTAAATGTAGGTAAAGGTAGACCTATTACAGACTGATAAACTTGGAAAAACAAATTTTCATATGAGCTGGCGATAATTAAAGTACAGATGTAATCATTCTATCCACACCTGCTATAATTCAGCTCCAAAATCTCTGTCTAAAGGAGCCTGTAAGCAACGAATGAGGAAAAAGCTTAAATCAGTCTTTTGTATTTTGTCTCTCATCATTTCATCTGCCATCGAATGTCCGTCTTCCTACATGTCCATCTGACTGCAGGAGGATTTAAAGGCTGCGGTCATGGTCATAAAGGACATCCCGGGAAGCCTCACTGGTCTTGCTGTGGCAGCACCACGGAGCAGTCGGAGTGTTTGCCCCAGAGCGTGCTGGCTGCCGTTTCCCCTCGCAGCCACCTGCGAACTGTGGAGCTCTGAGGCGACGCAGAGCCGAGACCTGTCAGGACGATGCGGTTTCATAAAAAGATGGCAGAAATGGAAAGGTTAGAGCTGCGGGGAAGTAACCTTGAGGTTGTCGGCGTAAACCTTGGACCAACTTGAAAAGGTCAGACAAGGGAAGTGAAAGTAACCTAGTGAGGCAGGACATCAGAGTCACTGCATGTCGGGCTTAATGTGATAAAGTATCCAGCCAGCTGCTAGAGACTAACAAGGGACACAGACAGTCCTCTGTGTAGTCCACATTGTAAAAGTGCCTTTATGTGTCAGCTTATCATGCTCACGCTGGAGGAGAAAGGAGAAAGAAGAAGCATCGATCACAGCAGGACAGAAATGTGCTTAAAGCCTTGCTGAAAGGAAGCGGAGCAACAGCTGACAGTTTACAAGTTTTTAACCTTTTAATCAGCTCGGAAGTTCTGAGGTGCTGAAATAAATTTTTGATTCATGATTTTAATGGTCAGTAAAAAAAACAGCCAGAATCAACAGATTGTGGAATATTTTATGTCTTTTTATATCAAACAGTCAGAGGAAGTAATCCTAAATATACTTTCATAAATATAGCCATGGTACACCACCACTCCCTACATGGCACCTTGCCTGTGTAGACAGCAAAAAATGACTGTAATGCTATTTTTCCCCAAAAAAATTTGATGGATTTTTCTTTATAGTTCCTTTGTTCTTTCAGTTCTGAAATAATGTAACTATTATTGTAACTGTTATGAGGTATAAGGTAGTGGAACAACAGTCTATGTGTCAAGAAATGCTTTTATGCATCTCCTTACAGTGCTGTTACAAATATGGACACATGTTAAATAATGAGATCAATGTTTTAACAGCTGATCATGTGCACCAAAGCTCAAGCTTCAGGGTTTTTTATTACTCTTGTTTCTGCATTATGTCAGTGACAGCAGATACCCCTATGGATGTGGCTCTGGCTGCCCCGCCCACCTGCTGTTCAAACCTGCTGTTTACAAGGGGTAGCCAATCAGAAGAAAAGCTAGCTTGAAGGGCGAGGGAAAGGAGCTAAAACAGCTCATTTCAGACAGGGATTAATTTTGAATAACGGGAATATTTGTCATATGAATATTGACTAATTACTTGAGTTCCAAGTAGTTGTGTATTATAACAATACCTACTGTGTCTTCATTAGTAACAACTTAGTCATAATTGTGCCTTTTACTGGATTATTTGTATGTAATAGTCACAAAACAGGTGATTACACATAGCATTACTAATAATTCATAACCATTTCCTACAAATTTACATATTACAGCCTACTCAAGTTCTAAGTATTAAATCAGGTAGATAAATACATTTTTGTTAAAAAATAATAATAAAACATTATGTGTAGCTACAAGGAAATCATTATATGCACAACTACTGCCAAGTACTGCAAAAATATGTTTGCTCGACAACATTTGATTCAATGATTAATTTGTAAGCTAATCCATAAGGTAAGGAAGGCCGTTGCATGGAAACCATCCAAAGTGTAAATTCATTCGCTGTTCCAAATGCAAACATCTGATTGTTTTTGCAAGCCACAGCATCTGTCCTGTCCTGTGTGCATGTGAACAATTTTATATTCAATGGCTGTTAGTGCTACCGGAACAACGAAGAAACTTATTAAAATATTCACACAAAAGGTTTTTTCCTCAAGTGTCTTTAGGAATTCATCTCCTGCAAGCTTCAAGCCTTTATCTGGAAAGCACTGTGACCATGAAGTTGCAGACAGACACTGCTTAGAATACAGACTTGTTTTTCTTCTGAGCGTTATAATGAGCAACTTTTTCTGTATTCAGAATGCAACATGCATGTTGCACTTGAGTGGAAGGAACATGATGATTTTTACGTAGCATGTGCTCAATATGAAGTTGTAAAAATGAAATTTACAACTAATTTTTCTACTTGTGGGCCAATATCTGCAGAATGACAGAGAAGCTGTCACACACTGAGATCTGGAAGTGTTTCCATCAGACTCTGACTTACACATTCATCTGGTTGTATTAGCAGGTAACTTGTCCTGGTGCTGTATTATTATTATTATTATAATTATTATTATTATTATTATTACTTCTTTTTTTTAAACTTGTTTACATCTAATAAAGAGGTTTTTTGTCACTTCTTATATCATGCTTCAGTTATTTTTTGAAAATTACATATAGAATCATTTAGGAATGAATATGTTGTTTTGCATATAATACATCTGTATTATTTAATTTAGAGGGCTACTGCTTCTTAGGTCACTTTTTTGTTTTGTGGTCAGTGCAGCAGATTGTAAAGGCAAAGGCTGATAACAGGGGAGGGTGGGCAGTGGATGGCAATGATTCAGCAACAACCTTCTGGTCTGGACAGAATGCATGCATTCAAGCAGCAATGGGCTGTTTTTGGCGAAAATGTGGTGCTTTTGGGATTGTGTGGTCTGGTTGTGCCCTAAAGTGGCCCATGTGGTAAATGGTTAATATGGACCTGGTGCAACAAATAAAAAGACAAATATATGCCTACATTTAATTTATCAAAGGTAGACAGTTTATCATAAAACATATGTGGCCACTTTTAGAAAAGCTGTGGCTCAGTAAGCTTTGTGTAATCTGGATGGGACCCTGAAGTGGCCGTAGTCTAACACAGCAAATGTAGTCCACTACTGTGCGCTGGTTAATTAGGTTGTGAGTCTAATGTGACCCACATTTGAAATAGTAAGTATGGCCCAATTATTGTTGTAAAGGATTGTAAATATTGTGGCACTTTCCAGATGAAAACTGTCTGAAATGTGGCCTGAAAACATAATACTTGGTAATCTGTGTGAACCTTATGTTTATAGTGAGGGCCAGGTCTGCGCCATGTTCCTTCATTATTAACATTTAATCTTTGTAAGTCATTTTAGAAAAATTCTTTGTCTTAATCTGTTACCTGGTGTCCTGTTTACGTATAGGGGCATGGAAAGGATCACATTCACCTCTTTTCTTTTCTTTTTTAATCCAATTTTTTGCCTTTTTTCTTTTTTTTTTTAAAAGTATTTCCTTCTTTGGAATCAATTAAAGCTACAGATTATAATTCCAAAGGTACTGGAGGTTGATTATGATCCTCTGAGGTTGGTTGTTTCCCCTTGGTCTCAAACTCGAGCTGTTCTCATACAAGGTGAATGTGTTAACCACTACACTGTGGAATATGATTTATTCCTATAAGAATAGAAATGAAGACTTAGTTTGCACAAAGCCTCTTAGAAACTTTAACTTTGCCCTCTCTGACTTTGTAAATACTTCATAGAAATACCTCTTTCCACCACTAGATTGCAGCAGAGAGTTGTTTTTTTGCTCTGGTCTTCCAGAACTAATTCTCCTGATCCTCTGCGTCTGACATCAAGTTTTCCACACTTTATTCCTACAAATCATTCATAATCAGCATTTTCACAAGCCGTCTTTACCGCACAGCTGATGAATACTGCATTATCGTTGGAAAATGTCTAAAGCGCTTTTAGACTGACTCTCTTTCTATGAAAGTTTGATGAATGGGGATCTGTTCCACTAAAAGCCACTTCACAGGAAGTTACATCAGCGATGTCAGCAGTGACACTGCTTAATTAAACACAGTGATCAGTCGGTTAACAGCAACTTGGAAACGAACGATCCCCTGATGTTCATCCTAACGCTCAGGAAGAGAAGTCATGGCTGGAAATGTTAGGACACTGCAGGTAAGGACACATGCACACACACATTAGATGAGGGCAGCTTTGGGTTAAGGATGATAAAGTGCTTCAAACCTGTCGTCATTATTGATTCCTCTCCTTCTCAGCCTCTGTACTTTCAGTGGACCCAATCTAAAAGAACTTGAGCGTACTCACACCAAATTAGAACAATGACAGTAAAAGGCAGGATACTCACCAGTCCTCTGAAGCACATTGAGAAGGACTTGTGCCAGACCTCATAAACCTCCTTCACCCATCATTGAGCTCTCAAGTAATGTACCTTGTAATTGAGAGACTCAGTGACCACGGTACAATATTGTCTCACAGCTGAGAGACATCTTTTCTCATATTTAATCTCTTACCTTTTGTGCCTTTTATGTTCTCACGCTTTGCCAGTTACTCTAACCCTGAGAGATAGAGAGATTCAAAGTTCAGCTCTAAATTCAGAGCCTGAATCAGGTTTTCAGCATTCAAGTGATTGAGGAGTGATTGCAATTTAAAAAAAAACAATAAGTTAACATATCATGTATTTTACATAACATCAGGTGTCAATATGTAGGATTTTTGTGGCCATATGCTACGTATCATTAAATCATTTTACATGACACAATGATACAATGAGCTTGATAATTCAGAAGGGGCTCAGAGTACAAACACTCCTCCTCCATATTGAAAGGAGCCAGCTGAGGTGGTTAGGAGTGATTAGGATGCCTCCAAACTGTGGTGTTCATTATGTTTTACCAGGAGAGAGCCCCGGGGCAGACACAGGACACGCTGGAGGGATGTTTCTTGGTTTGCTTGGAAACACTTTGGTATTCCCCCAGATGAGTTGGAGGAGGTGGTTGGGCATCCTACTGCTGCTTGAATAAGAAACAGGACATTTTCCATGACTGTTAAAATAAAGATTCAATTATTTGTAATATAATTGCGGCAGAGGCGTGGTCCCTGGCTCAGCTGTAGGGGAGGGGTAGTGCAGTGAGCCCAACGGGTATGTCCCTGATATATAGCAAAGCCAGAGCCCAGAGAGTAGGAGTGTGTGCTGGAGATCAGCTGGAAAGCTGGTGGACCGGAGGCCGAATCATATAAACGGCACATGTGTGATATTCCAATAAACACTCCTCAAACATGAACAACATACCAGTGTGTCGGGTCAGTCTTTACAGTACTAAATTTGTATTTCCCTGAGTCAAAGAGAGAAATGCAGAAAATCCGACCTCCAGCAGATCAATGGATATAGTCACTCTTCTACACAAAGAAACAATTTGCATCTGTCCTGTTCAAGTATGGGACATGCAATTTGTTGTATCACCAGCCTCTAAGCTTCAGATCATGGACTGATACCCTAACATTTTGGTTTGCAGTTCTCATCTAAACATTGCACGTGCGTGTTTGCCAAACAAACAAACAAACAAACCCTTTTCTCTCATCGATTACCCCACAAATGTAGGCCAAGCTGAAGATTTAAAGTATCTCCTCAACCTCCCTGGACAGGAGATTAAGCAGATACAAACTGTTGTTTAGTTTTGTTTGCATTCTGATGCAAATTTTACTTGAGCTTCTGTGCAAATGCAAATAATGCAATAAAGAAATAGGTCAGATATATTTGGGATCAGTTCATTATGTTCCTTTTGCAGATTGCCATATGGTACCAACTGTTTATTTACATTTGTAGCTGAACCCTTTGTAAAAGTTTTCTTTAGAGACCAGAATTGGTGTCAGTGGTGCAGTCATCCTCTCATTTCACAATCTGGGAAAATGACACACAGTGTTTGAAGACAAGAAGAAAAAAAGAGAAA